AGATTTTGCTACCCTGTTTCTCGTTCTGCAGCAGAAGAAAAGTAAAAGAAAGCTAGCAGACGTAAACTTTAATAAACGTTAATCAAGACCACAATTACCTGTCGGGAAATTAGAAGTCTAGAATTCTTCGCTGAAACATGGCCGAAAATGACGTTTCTTGCAAAAAGTGTGTTTTTGATGGTAAATAACCTCGAACAGGAACTTAATATTGATGGAATATTACTTGAAATTTGCAGTACATGCGTTTGTTGTCCAGGACAAAGTATAAATATTTGGTTTTTGAGTGATACTGTGGCCAACGATCATCGTCAAATTTCAGAATTCAGTATGTGAGGTATTTTGCTAAAATTGCTTGTTTTTCACCTTAATTTTCTCATATATACAGGTTGTGCCAATGAAATGTTTTTGCTAAGAGAATGTAAACTCGCCTAAGAAATGAAGAAAGTACTGAATTTTGGCAAATTTCATGTGCAAGTGTAATTTATACGAAAAAGGCAACTCAGAAAATGAGCATCGGAATAATCATTTTGCCATATATTGTGCCATAATAGTTTTAAAATATTATTTTTAGGTTTTCAAAGTATTTAAAAGACAGATACACATAGCAATCAGATTTTTCTATGACCGTCATTTCGAAGCGTAAACTTTGTATTGTTTTTAAACACAATTTTCGCTCGTTTAAAATTCTAAGTTGTGCCAATGAAATATCGCTGTTTTACATTAAATTTCAAAGCATTTTTAAGTCGGTATTAAATTTCTTGGCTTTGTAAAAAATGAAGAAGTATTGAAGCTATCGGACGACATAGTAAAAGGAAAAATTTTTGCTCTGTTTGGTTTTGCACTGAAATAATCGTTATTAATAGTTTACATTGTAAAATATGTGGCAATAGAGGAAATTAAAGTAGTACTGCAACATTTTTTGTCAGTGAATCCAATTTTTGTGGTGATTTGTGGGCCTAAACAGCCGCTACAAAATTGTCTTTCGAAAGCTTCGTTCATGTAGTTTATGTTTTTTAAATCAACCAAGTGGAAGCACGCATATCTTCTTCTGCCGCTAAAACCCGAGCAGTTTTCGCGCATGCTCAGTCAATTTTCCCACCTGTTTCACGAATCACGTCGTCAGTGATTTTGCCGTGTTTTCCTTGGGATTTTTCCTTGGTTTTTCGCCTCTTCTTTTTATCGTGAGGCTTGGGAACGAGTCGTGAATATAAATATAGATGAAAAGCTACCTCCATCCGGAAATTTCAAGCCACGGTAAAAACTTACAACTATCTCTCTAATAAACTCACGATCCTGTTCGAAGATGCCAGATGTTGAAAACACTGAAGATTTTCTAATTCTATTTGCAATAATTTACGTGCAAAGATACAATAGTCCTTTTTATATATATATATATATATATACACGAATTCACACCTCTATATGTAAACTGGACTTGCACATTTTTCATAGGATGTCTAGAAGGGGCGGAAGAACAGGGAACTAGTGGAGCTACAATCTCTCCCCCCCCCAGAAGAAAAAGTGGGGGTCTAAGCCCGACTATAACAAACCCAATAAGACTAAGCTTGTAATATCAAGAGTCTTGATCGCTGCCTAAAAGGCAAAGTGGACAAATTTACCAACATTGTGGTCAATGAAATATTCCCATTCCTATTAATGAAATAATTTAAATTGGAGGACGATGCTTCAGCACTCTTTGCAATTTTCACAGAACAGATAAGCCGCCTATATATATTCAGAACTCCGATATAATTCCCTGGAGCCAGCCGTAAGACCGGGGGAATTCTCCCACGGCTATTTACACCCGGGGAAAGCAAAGCATTTGGCAAGTCTAAAGTTCATCAATAGACAGATTTAGAAAAGACGACGAGACCTCAAAGACGACGTGAAAATGACGTATGCACCTCGCGTTCACTTCCGGGTTTTAATCTGGGACGGCTTGTTTGTCTTTCTCGCAGCAAATTTTTGTTTTCTTGCTACCTGCTCATTCCTGTATTGTTTTCAATCAGTTGTCAAATTATGTGCAAGAAAAGGCTATATAATACTGGCCAGGTGTTTCCTAATGAATTAGTATGAACATTCAATAAGTTTTTTTTAGAAAAAGACGTATATTTCGGTATTTTGAAAAGTGAACTTTGTTGCATCATTTGGAATAAATACAATAGCTGCAGGTATTGTTTACGAGCTAAATGCTTTAGTTTGTAGCCTATTCAATCAATGTTGTCAACTGTTTAGTATAAATATGGTATCAGTGCTTATATTGGTAAAATTTAATACTGTTTACGATAGTTTTTCACGCTGGAAAGCGTTTTTTTACTTGTCCTACTTTTTCGCACTGTTGTGACAGAGCAACTAAAATTGATTGAGTTTTTACTGCTTTAAGTGCTTCTATTCTTCTATCTTCCCAAGTTTTCCTGATTTTAAACAGTTGTTAATATAACTTCAGTTCAGTTTGTTCTAAAATGTTTGTTTTGGTGAAGAATACTAGCGGTATTGAAGTGGTTATTAACAATGCTTGCAGTTTTGTTGTTGGCGACCGAAAGTTATTTGTTATGGCGACCGAAAGTATATGTCAAACATTAACACGTTCAAAATTTTACGAAATACAAGAAAAACAACCTTGTCAATGAAAAACCTGTAACTAGAATCATTAAACAAAACATGGGGAACAAAATAGGATGATTTTTATCATGCATACTCTCATATTTTTTTTCAAAAGAAGCATAAATCTGTGACGTTCTAGAGAGGACGTAGGGATTGTTAATCCGCCTGCACTGCTTATGCCTTCAAAGGTCAGAGGTCTGGAACAGGAATAGCAGAGACCACTGTCATTGACATCCTTTGTCACAAAATTATGATGGCATACTGGAAAGCTATGTTGGATGAGGCGCTCCCTTAATAAATAGCCTGACACATATTAATAAGTTAATGCATTCATGCAGACTAAGTTTTGTTCAATTTCATTTGTTTTGTAGTCAGTATCTTCGAGACTTCGACTGCTTGGATTAGTGGTGGGCTTGTCTGATCATTTCCCACAGATAAATCAAACATGGCTAGGGTGAAATGCAATCAAATATGCATCAGAATCTTCAGCACAGTTGCCAATTGAAAGCGGTGTCAAAATATTATGTACAAATAATTTGAAAAATGCTCTGGTGAACTGATGGGACTAATGGGTTGTCACAATTTTCCCCCTGCTGCCTAATGAGGTCAAAGAAATTCTCCAGAGGATCTTGGTTGAGACGTCTTGTCATGAGAAACTCCAAGGAATGATGTTGGTTAAGGTCTTGTAATGTAAATACTACAGTGTAATTACTACTGACAGTGTAAATACCACAGTGAAATGTAAATACTACAGTATAATTGGGGTTTAAAAATACAAAGTTTATTTTAAATTAATAAGTGTTGTTTATTTTATTTCACATTTATATACATTTAACAACTTAAATTATTCGAAAACTAAATAAATATGTGTTCAATGTCAATGAATATTGCTATATTCTAAATTTGTTATTCCAAAATAAGCAATAACTTTTCCCTTTGTAGTTGACCCCACATGCTGTCATGAAAATTAGTACTAAATAAAAAAAGTAGCCAATGATCCATGTTTCCTCTTACAGTCTTTGCTTTATATGAAAAGTTAAATACTATGAATAATTGGATTGTTCCTTTTATTGATAAAGAGTTTCCCATTAAAAGAGAAAGTATTCCCAATTAATCCTTTCCCTGTTAAAGTGTGCTCTCCCCTTGACGAGTAAAATCGTCTGGCGTTAGACAGAGAAAAATAATAAAGTAGGGTACATCAGGGCACAATGCAACTCAATGGGTTAACTGGATCGTCTGATATTAGACAGAGTAAAATAATAAAGTAGGGCGCAACGCGACTCAATGGGTTAACAAGTAAAATTGTCCAGCTTTACAGAACATCTTCCAAGGGGAGCTGCATTTGGGGAGCAGGCCTACCATTTTTAGTTGCATTGGCAAGGGAGGGGGCTGATATACTAATGAGGACACGACTACAATAGATATATACTGCCTTATTATTATTCTTTATATAAAGAATACTAATTAGAAGTGTTTTATCAGGTTTAAAGCTACTGCACGTGATATATTATGGTTGACATGATTTGTTAATAAGCTTCTGAATTATTAATGAGTGTTTGAATTGAATAGTATGATCACCGAGATACTGTAATTATTTTCTATTGTTTAATTAAACTCGTATAAATGAGAATCCAAACAAGTATGCAACAATTAACAGCACATAAAGGATCTCTTTATTGTTGTGTATGAAGGTATTGTTTGGATGTTCAGCCATGCATACAAATGCGGGTAATTTACTAAATCGACCGCTCCAGCGGGCGAATTAGAAAATTGCACGCTCAGAGAGAATTTAGAGATTTCAATACCCGCTCGGAGCAATAGAACCCAAGGTGATCATGGAAACACGGACAGCGTCCCCCCCCCCCGGGAATCCGACAAACCTCCCTCGCCTTTCTAATTTCACTCATGTCATGCTATTACTTATAATAAATAATAATATTATTTAAACAGGGCGATTCCTTTAGTGTAGAAACACTTGTATCAGTGGAAGCCCGACTATAACTGGAAGAAATATAGTTTCTACAACATTTAATGCTGCCTATTTTGTCATTGATCGTACTTACCTGGTTTGTCAATGAGTTTGTAGGTCAATGTAAATCCGCTTCCGGACCCACTCCTGTCAGTTATAAAGTGAAATGAAACATTACCATCATTGTATGTTGCCAGCCTGCCAGCAGATGATTCACCACATACGGAGGTATAGAAACTGTTGTCCTCAACCTCCAACTTGTCCTTCTGGCATCGGGTAGCAGCTGTAAGCAAAATAGACTTCATCGACTAGACTTTGAAAATGGCAATGTAATTGACAAAGGCGAGCATCGGCGGAGATCCACATTGGAATCCGAGGACACGGCAATTAAAAAAATGCTGTCAATAACTTTAACATTTTCCAAAACAATGCCGGTTTATATTGAAGAGACTTTAAGGTGGCTCCCTAGGGTTTTTGAATTATACTACACTGAGTATTCAGGAGACTCCTGTTTCTTCACTTTACATGACATGAGGACGAAATTTATTGGACACATTGACAATGCACTCCTGAACATTGCAATTTCCTACTTTTGTGTTGAATGTCTGTTGCCATAGCACCAGTATGCCTAGAATAAAGCTCAAAATTTGTCTTTTTCAGGCCATTTTAAAAATTCCTTTCGGTAAATTTTTTTAAAACTTTGCATAAAAGATGATACTGGTATGATTTTTTTTCTTCAATTTTAAAAAATTATATCGATACGTTTCTCAGAAAATTGAAAAAACGTCAAAAATCAATATTAAAAAAATTTTCCATTCGATATAATTTTAAGAAAAAAGGATATTGCACTTATTTCACCGAAGTTAAGGAAAAGGGAGAAATTTTGGTTTAATTCTGGCATTTTTTACAATGATGTGAGGTGAACAATTATCACATCTGACGTGTACATGCATTTTGTAAACAACAAGGCATGATTTTACAAAATATAAATTATGTTTGATATACTGTTTTTAACTTTGTGGGTTAATGGTCAACTAAGGGTGGATTATTACATGTAAAATAGGCAAAGATATTTATGTAATTACTGGTTATGATTTCTTCGTATTAATTTGAAAATGTTTGTCAAAATTCGTCCCGTGCGAGTTTATAGTACTATCGCTGGATGTTTTCGCAAAATGCTCGTTCAAATTTCAGTTTTTATGGTAGCATGTTTGTGAAGTTTCGGCACTGCTCATTTCACGCTTAGAGGGCTCATTATTTAAGTCATCCGGCTTTATTGTCATAAGTGCTGCTAGATTGTGGAGAAAACATTGCAAATACTTGAGGAAACTTTATATCATATCCCAATGTTCGCGATGCGAACCTCGGGTACGGTGGTCAAAAACTTCCAGAATACCGCTTGAAAAAAAAACAAATTTATATTACTTCTTTTGAAACGTTATGCCTTTTAGAACTATTTTTATGCTTTCAACTAAAGCAAAGCTCACACTTTTGTTTCAAAAACGAGTTCCATATAAAACACAACGTTCGTTCGTATTTTGAAGTCAAACGAGTTTTAATTTGCATGTATACAAAGAACGTAACCCCAGCAAATAAAACCCTAGGGAGCCACCTTAAGTAATATTATAAGTCTATTAATACCTTAGTCATTAATCATATATGTAGGCGGAAACATCATAGATTCTAAACTATTTGTAATTCTATCTCATTGTTAAACACCCGTTGAAGACCGCAGTCTGGCAGTCGAAAGCTTGTAGAATTGATAAATATTTTAAACCAGACAGCGTCCAAAAACTTAATATGAATAATCCTGGTTTCGCCTCGGAAGCTTTAATTAAAGTTACCGATTCATAGACAAATACCGTAATAAAATTCAAAATTCTTTTTATGTGTTAAAATGCAGTGACCCTAACGAAAAATGGACCTTTTGCCACAAATTATCATATAAATTGTAGCCATATTTGCTCATAATTTAGTATTAACCGCTACAGAAAAACAGAACAATTTGAAGAAAATGACAACAGATTACGAAAGGGGGAGTGGGAAGGTTCTTGTATTTTGACTGTAAGATAACCAGCAAATTTAGCCAGGAATATTAAATTAATCTAAATAGGGTTATTTCTGGGTTGACAGCAAAAATTTTAACCAGAGTGTTTTTAGAGTTCATTGTAATTAGCCTTTCTCACGCCGCCATTTTTGCGGTACTGCTTTTTCCAAATATGAGACTGTACGCAGTGAATAAGGAATTTGTCCTCGAGCCAACGGCGCGGAGCTTCGTTCCGGGCGTAAGCCCGGCGCGAGGGTACTAATTCCGCCAGGCTATTTACACCCGGGGAAAGGAACGCACTAGCGAAGTCGAAATTTCATCAAATATCGTGGGCGCGTGGCTCACCGTTCATGGGTGGTCAACTGGTCATCCTCACTGATTTCAAAATATGTAGCGGACTGTCGTGAATAGCGAACAGTGACTGGTCAAATTTGAAACTTGCATTATAATGCTATATTGACGACAGTGAAATAACAAACATTTCTTGCAAGTTGTATTTTTGCAAGATTTTGTAAATTTTAAAACCTTTCTGAGAGCAAAAAAACGTCTAAAAGAACGGAGCAAAGTCGTCGAGGTTAAATGCAGGTAATTTTTTTTAAATATTGATGTATTGTTTGTTTTATAATTGATATATTTATAACTGATACGATCGTTGCGTATACATGTGAAAAAAGACAGCATATAAATCCAGTGTAGTTTTATTCTTTTACATACTAAAATAATTAAATAAAGAGGAAAGCAAAGTTATTTTCATGCGAGAATTTGAAATCAGTTTATTTCAAACTCAATGTTTACCGATAATTCGATAAAAGGCCGTTTAATTTTAAGAACATTTTAAAACGTTTTGCGAAGCGTTTGTGGTGGAATTTTACATTAAATTGAGGCGTATATTACGTATAATAACATAACTAGCATATATGTTTGGGAAATTGATCATTTTGTCAGTAAAAGTGATATTTTTGGGGGATTTTTCAATTTTAAAACTATTCTTAAAATTATCGTGTTACCATGACAACTACTTTCAATTCTTCATGTTCAGAAAACATAATGGTTTTGTCAGTAAGGCGAGGGTTTCTGCATGCATGTATCTAGTATAACTATAATTATGGGTATAATAATTATATAAGTTAATTTACAGTTAAATATTTGAAAAAATGTTTTCACATCGTTTAGATTTTTCACGTCGCTTTCAAAAAAGAACCCTAAAAATGGCGAATTTGGCGTTCGTGAGAAAGGCTAATTGTTATATATTGTTACTGTTGTGCACTTACACTCAATATCGTAAAAGTCGAAGGAAATTGAGACTGCCTTATTTGAAGGCACATTCATGATAAGGAGACAGTTCTGATTGGCGCCATAGTTACCAGAGAATCCAGGCGAATGGACACGACCAATAGCACTGGGGGTGATTAATCTGGTCGGACACACACTCACTGCTGAGAGCCAACTAGTCGCTGGAAAAAATAAAGATAGCAATAATCTATACACAGGATATAATAAAAAAAAGGGAATCCAATTTTTGGCATGTTACCTTGCGAAAGGTATTAGATATTTAGATGTATTTTTCCATAGCAATACATTGTACGAAGGGTGGACAGAGCGCTATCAACCCGATAGTGATTTTTTCAAGTTTTCTAAAATTGTCCGTTAATTGGTATAACGTCCACATAGATAAAGGTTTCGTATTATTTTATAAACTAAAGTTTCGTTTGATTAATTGTGAGTTCGATAGATATCGATAGTGTTTTTGCTTTTCAAGCATTTTTTACAACGGTTGAAGAAATCACTATAGATAGGAATAACCAATTTGGCCTTCGTAACAACCAGCCCAGTGAACATGCGCAGAATATACATGGTAACGTGTACTTAATACTGATGAGAAAAACTGCTCAACAAGTAGTGGGCAAAGTTTTTAATTTATTGGTAGAATTTCGAGATCAAGAAAAGGTCATAGGCCCAAGAGAAACATTTTTTTTTTATTTATTTGTTTATTTAGCTTCGCCTTGACAAAAAACGTACACAATACAAGCACAACAATTCATATACACGAGACATAAAAAGAGGCGGGGACACCACAACAGTTTACACCAATTACTGTGGGCCTCAATTACTATTACTAGGTGCTAGTTAATTAAATTAATTAACTAATGTAATTATGTAATTATGTAATTATTATAATAATTATAATAATTAGTATTTATTATAATAATTAGTAATTATTATAATAATTATAATAATTATAATAATAATAATTATATTAATATAATAATTATAATAATTAGTAATTATTATAATAATTAGTAATTATTATAATAATTAGTAATTATTATAATAATTAGTAATTATTATAATAATTAGTAATTATTATAATAATTAGTAATTATTATAATAATTAGTAATTATGTAATTACTAGGTGCCTCAAGCAGAAAAACCCCTATTTAAACCTACAATTTGAGCCTCATTTCACCAACCGTGTTGTAAATACTCGTCACTAAAGTAACGAGTTACGAATTACTAATTACTTCTCGAGTAATTTTTCGGTAGCTAATAACTTGTTGTACGAAAGTAATTTTGTAACGAAGATTAATTTTTTTATGAAGGTAAAGACTGACATTCTCAAGAAAGTAATTTGTACCACTTACCATATATCTAGAAAATTTACCATATCTAGAAATTTCATAACGAAATGCATTGAAGTTGAATGTCCGTCGAGGGTTAACTGCTCATGCGATTGAACAGAAGTTCCCCTACTTGTTTTGTATCTTGGTTTGGTACATTTTGATATTGTAGCAGCCCAATCTTATTATCACGTAAGTAAAAAGTAATCTGTGTAGTAATTGGTAATCAATTACTTTTTAACAACTTTTAATTTGTAATAATTACCTTTCCGGAGAAGTAATTATAATTTTTAATCATTCCTTTTTGGAAATTTCAACAACACGGTCACCACAAATAAGTCGAAATAAAGCAAAACAAACGGACAATGTCATGCAATGAATGGTCAGCGGCATGGCCATTTCATTGTGCTATTTCCCGTCATGCTTCTATCATAGCTGAATGTTTCCAGATAAGCAACCTCCATATATCGACACTCGTCGCGATGGGGTATACGTAACATCTGGATCTGGGCCTGGGTTTGTTTAGCCCCTTCCGTCCCCCCCCCCCGAATTAAAACCAGTCTTCTGCCACCTTATTTCCCTCTGGCGCCCCTAAGCACACCGATAATATTGCTTACTCCGAATGGTGATGAATTTGAGATCAAAACCGCTTTCTTGCTTCATATGATCTGTTACCATTTTCAGTGTGACGACATTCAGGCCAAGGACAATTGGGGCCGGAGTTCTGTCCCCACATAATTCTTTTGACGGACCTCCAGATATTTTCAGGTAATCATAACGACACCCATCTGTAAATGTAAAGTAACTACACAGCCAGAAATCTCAAAGGCTTGTCGCAAGTTGTTGATTTTACCTGTTTGCGGCAAGTTGTCAACAAGTTGCGACAGGTTGTTGGTTTCGTCAGGCGGTAACTGCGGGCCTGCGGGAACAGGTCTGTCGCAACTGTTTACAACAGAGCCGTAGTGACTTGTTGAAACAACCCGCTACAAACCTGTTTCTAACAAGAGATAACAGGTCTGATAGAACAACTGCAGCAATTCTGATGAAATCAACAGGTTGTTTACAACTTGTCCCAACAGACCTGGCGCAAGTTGTTTTTGTCAAGTCTGCATCAAGCTTGTTATCAGACCTGCGGCAAACCTGTCCACGACAAACAATTTTTGTCCTGTCACAACAAGTTTCAACAAGCCTGTTGACAGTGTTGTTGGGAAACAAATCGAAAATGTGAGTAAAGAGAATAATCGCACGAAATGGACACTTCCTGCTTCACATTCTCATTCAATCATTGCCATTGGCAATATTAAATCACAGAGGAGAGACTATAGTATCTACTCTATGATTAAATGCAAAAGCCGCTGTTTTATTTAAAAAAAAATAGTTCCGATTTCCAAAATCCAAATTCCAATTTACTGCATGACGTGTGTTATCGCTATATTTCTTTAATCTGATTGGATAAAGGCGTGTTCACACGTCATCATTCCTCGTTGCAAAAAGATGAAATACTACAAACACATCAATCATGTAATCATGTTTAGTTGTTTTTGAATTTTGAGCCAAACAAAATTTCAACAACTGCCTCAAACAAAATCAAAAAAAGTTCAAAGCTGTTTTGATCTTTGAAGAAACTGTGCCAATGAGAACACAAGATCTAGATCTTAAGAAATGAAAAATACATAAACAACCGAGCGTACGTTCAACGTTCTTCATTGCTAATATGAATATGAAATGCGTTATATAATTTCTTTCCAAGCTTTTTCTATGTACTATTTTGAAGACAAATATACAAGTAGGTTGTCATATTTCGGTCGCATATAAAGACCAATTAATTTTGAAAATTGTTTACAATAAAGAACCTTTCTTTGTCGTATTTTTTCGGCTGTTTTGCTCAAAAATTATCTCGCAAGTTTGTTATATAAAAGTCTTATTATTTCACGAAACACTAGGCAACCGAAATATGGCAACCTGGTTGGCCGTTTTTCAGTTCAAAATAGTGGATACACGAAGCTCCATAAGGCCCTTTCCTCGGTTTGCAACGGGTCTGTGGCAAGTTGTTGAAACTGAGCAGCATTGATGCAGCTCTGTGTCAACAACTTGCAACAGGCTCGTTGAAAACAGCATTGCTGCAGCTCTGTCACATCAGCTTGTAACAGACCTGTTGACAAGCCGTTGCGGACCTATCAGGACAGACAGGTACAAGTCGAGCGAACCCATCCAGATTTCGGCTTGTTGACAACAAGTTGTAACAGACCTGCTGCAGATCTGTTCCGACTTGCGCGAAATTGGTTGTGTAAGTGAATACAGTACATGCTAATAATATGTAAACTAAAGGGCGCTCAGAGAGTGCATACCTCCGCCAGCAAAAGTATTGAAATAGGTTATGTACCATGCATGCACAAATTATACAATTGACTAATTACGCAGTTTACTCCACACGGCATAGCAAGACAAATCCTTTCTAATTTTTCCTCACCCTAAATTTCATCCAAATTTAACCAACATTTATTCAATTTGCCCATGGGCAATGTCCAATAATTTTTAATGAATCGTGGGAGTTTCCCAGTTAGCTGCGCAGATATGAACATGCCCCAAAGTGTAACATAAATTACGTTACATACCGTTTTTATCACTCTCAATATCAAGCTTTGTGAAAGTGAAAATAAAGTTTGTGCCCAAAGGCTGTTTGATCGTCAGGATACAATTAATGTTTGAAGGATAGTTTTTTGGATAGTTAGGAGATGTAATCTGTCCACTGGATGCTGTAATCTCCCTTGTTGGGCAGATATTGATGGCTTGGCCTGTGGGAAAGACAAGCACAACAGTTATATTTCTACTTAAATCACTATTATTATATTATATAAATTTGAAAATACAATATTTTCAAATAAACTCTATGCTACTAAATGCCATTTTCTATCTATAGGCAACGGTGGTAAGAAATACGGATTACTTCGTTGATATTTTAAATAGAAATGTCGATAAGAAAAAAATTGTTATTTTCATAGAAAACGCCACTAATATATATTTGCCAAAGCCTCCGATGAGTAAAGGGCAATTTTCCCCGCAAATTGCACTGCAATTTCTGGCATAACAGGGGCGGTAGAATTGGGGAGGGGGGGGGGGTGAGCTAGGGCGGCTACAGCCACCCAGATTTAATTTTAGTGTTACGAAAACAGTTATATTAATATTTGGAGAGAGCCAGCAAGAACACGAAGCAAACAATAGGTCGAGAGCTTGGAAACTTGGTTCCCAGATTTTATCTGAAAAGGGGTCGTGGTCAAATCTCGGAAAACTTTGGCTTGCAAATAGAGACAGTAAGGAAATCGTTTCAAAAGCAACATGTGCGGGTAGAGAAGTCTGTTTTATGTTGATGGCTGTTGGTACTCGCTACGGAGGATTAAATCCTATGGTTTCGTCTAATTTATGGCGTAAGATTGGCATTCCAAAGTTCCTGTATGGATCAGAGATCTGGCAGCTGAAAATGAACAATTATATTGAGTTAGAAAAGGTCCAAAATATCATGGTCAGGATCATGCAGGGACTATTACCAGGAACGTCTGGGTCTGCGGCACGGGGACTTTTCGGCTTACTTTCAGTTGAAGCGGAGATAGATAAGCGAAAATTGTATTTTCTGGGAAGATTGATAAACATGGGTGCCGGTGCACCATGCCGCCGTGTCTTCTTTATCAGGTTACTAAGGTGGAAGTGGAACTGTGGCAAAAAATTAACCGGATTTGTGCCAGACATTGTTGAAATTCTCGCAAAGTACGACCTTTTGCAAGTTTTAATCACTTATATTCTCACAAATGATTTCCCTATAAAAACTCTGTGGAAAAAGACTGTCAATAAACATGTTCGAGAGCAATATGATCGTGTTTGGCGAGAAAAGATTAGTAAGAACAATCAACTATATCTCTACTCTAAGGTTCATACAAAGAATGAAGTTTCTCATTGGTGGATAATAGCAAGAAAGAATCCATCCTTCATGAAGGTGACTGACTGACTATGTGATTATTGATAATACATTAATGCAGTTTTTCGATTCAGTAGAGAGATCTTGTGAGCATCCTGACAATACAGCATTTCATTTACCGCTGAAACTAT